GATTAAAAGGGAGACCTACCATGAGCTCTGCCACTTGTGAGAAAGCACACCTGCCTGCTCTCTTGCAGCAGGGCTGGGCAAAACTCTTCCCAAGGCTTGCAGACAAAATCTTGTAACAAAAATGCCAGGCTATTTCAGCAGAAGGCAACTGAGTGCAAAATGCTTTCTGAGCATGCTGGCACCTCCAGCAGAGTCCTCAATCCTCTCACCCCTGCATGCTCTGGCCCAGCAGCCCACTGTGATGGGGCACAGCAGCATTCCAGCCAGGGAAGTCCTCAGGTGCCAGGGCAGAGGGAAAACTCAAAAGCAAAAAATGAACAGGAGGAAAAAAAATACAGGGATGGGCTCTGCCAGAGCCTCTCTCACTCTCCCTGGTGTGTTTCCCATCTTGGACATGCTGTCATTTCTTGCTTGCCAAGAGCAGCCAGCTCTCAGCTTGCAGGCCAAAGGTTTGCCACCAGAAGGGTTTTTAAAGGAGCCTCAGGGAGCAGCCCTCCATTTCTCCAGCATTACAGTGGGAGCCTTCATGGTTGAGGCACCCCAAATAACTTGTGCATTTGGAAAGTCTTGGTGAGACCAGTGTGGGCACCTGTGCTGCTGTCCCGTTGCCTGAGCTTTGGAGAACAGACACCCATGCAGTGGGAGAGGCAGAAAAGGTGGACATTTGTGCCTTCCTTTCTCCAGCCACCTCAGCACCGTGTCAGCTGTGGAGCCTGCAAGGGGATATTTTAACACCCACACTGCTCAGCACAGGCAATTACCTTTTTTTCCTCTTTTCTTTTGCTCAAGAGAAGATGAAGTGAGGTGTGGGTGACATGAACCAACAAGCACTAGTGCTCTCAGAAAGTGTTGGCACTCAACATCAAGGACACATCAGCATCCAGAGTGCAGGCAGCATCTTCCTGGAGTCCTGCCCTCCAGTCAGCCCAGGAAAGCTGTTCCTCCATTACCCTTTCCACCCAATGAGTTATCACCCAGTTTGACATTCCATGGGGTGGAAGACTGTTGGGGAAGCCCCATTAAAGCCCAAATCATGGGGTTTCAATGCTGGGAGGTGAGCTTAGCCTGTAAGGATGGAGGAGAACAAAATAACTCATTCTGAGACCTGTGAAGAGCGGTGTCCAAGCACAGTCTTATATGAATAAAGGAGGCTAAATACAACAATAATTCAGTCCAGAAAATATGCTGTGAAAAGCTGTGTGGTAACAAGAACATTAGTTAGGATGTGTGGCATCAGTCACAGTTTTGTTTTTCTCATTAAAATGAGAAATGTCATTAAAAGTGAGGTTTCATCTCATGTAAGCCACGTTCTCAGCAAGAGGAGGGTGGGGCACTGCACAGTGGGCAAAGCTGTTGACATGGCTGTGCTGGAACAGCAGCTTTTGCCTTGCCTCTATTAGCATCACTGTCCTCTGGTTCCATCTGCTTGGCCTTAACATTGCACAAGGTAGTGGGGAATTTTCTAGGGCTTTTTGCATTTCCTCAGTTCTAACGTGAGTTTGCTGGCTAAACACGTGTGGAACAGCTGTAAGCACTCAATGCATGTAAACAAAAATTGGTTTTGAATTAACAAGGAGCCTTATATGGATAAATGAGAGAGAAGCAAAAGCCATGATCTTGCTGACATTGACATTAATCTCCTCTAATTAGTAATTTTTTCCATGGGTTTGTCTCCATAGCCAGCAAAGTGCACAGGCTCTGAACCGTGATTACAGCCCTTTGGACCATTATGGCCCCATCAGCCTTTTGCCACATAGTATCAGGTTTGGTTTGCTCCAGCTATGAACGTGTCATATTGCCTATGATGAACTTTTTTTTTATGGTTTTATAACATAGTTATAAAAATTCACTCAGGGCCATGCTTGACAAACAAGATCTCCTTTCAGGAGTGATCCTGTTTTATCCAAATTTCACCAGGCATCATCATGGATCCTGGTGGGGTGGTATAACAAAAAAAAGGCCCTGGTACATGCTGG